TCGAATTTATTGTTTCAAAAATCTGAGAAAAATTGATTATAGACAGATCTATGAAAAAGTTTAAAGTGCCCCTCCCGATGCCGACCCTAGCAAACGAATTAAAGATCACAATTTGAGGGCATGCATCTGGAATTTCCAGTCTCTTAATTGTCGGCTGCGATAGCCGAGTGGTTAGCATGGCGTATTGCCACTAGGAAGGCTTGGGTTCAAATCTTGGTGTCGATCGAATAGCCAAAACAGTTTCAGAAAATTAATTTGAATAAAAATTAAGCTAAATTTTCTAAAGAATGTCAACTGCTTCTGGCATAAAAAAAAAGTTCTTCATAAAAAATCATCAGCCGCTCGGAGGCGATTTAGTATAATTCCAACACTGGAAAATCATCAAGACGTAAAAACTACAAAGTGGGGGAGGAGCTCGCCGAAAACCGCTTCAGTGGCTATAAAGCGTCAATATATATATATATATTGGGAAGGTGCCGCTAGCACCTCGTAGGAATAAAGGCTGACATCATGACCTTCCAAGAAGCGCGATGGACGGGACAAGAACGGAAGCGATTAGGTACTTTTGATATTTACTTAAACCATCGCATTCACCCCGTTAGATGAACGTCTCGCCACAATCAGCATCTAATCATCATTTTAAGATACAGCTGATTTGTGCCATTGTCCGAACGAATGAAAAGAATGTATGACCAAAGATACCTCTTAAGGCGCCGGGAGTGTTGTTGTTGTTGTATTGGATTTTAGTCGCCTCTTACGACAGGCATGTCTTTCCGTGGAAAAATTCTTGAACCCCTAACCAGCTTGCAGCGTACTCATGAGCGCTGCCCCCGCCAGGTTGGTAAAACCGGGCTAGGGTGGACAGAAACGGCGTCTTTGGCACAACTGTCAGAAAAATCAGCCTCCACTACGTAACATCTACAAATGGTTTGAAGCCAAGTACCAGATTCCAGCACAAGAATATTCATCAAGCTACTTGGCTGTCCCCTGATTGAAAAACTCAGAAACAGATCGATCATGCTGTAATAGACGGAAGACATGTCTCTAGTGTTCTTGAAGTTCGTACACTCCGACATGGTGTTATGGTCCTCTGCGAGTTGGAAACGATGATTAATGCAGCCGATGAAGGATCAGTTGTACGATATACGAGTATACGGCTAAATTGACCTAGTTCAGCGAATCAACCAACAGCGGCTAAGCTGGCTAAATCATAGACTTTGAAAATGTTCGATATAGTACCCGCCGGTGGAAGCAAAGGAAGAGTGAGGAAGTGGGACTAAGACCTCTACTCTGTTGGACGGACCTTTGATAGTAACACTGCTTGAGTTGTGATTCCTTACCGCTTTTTAGTCATTCTTTCCGCCAGTTCATAAGTTTTTACCACCAAAACTCTCAAAAAATTCTAATTATGTGAAGTTGAGTTGTATACCTAGTATAAAGATTTGTAGGAATGTACTTCTAATATGAAATAAAAAGCTACCCATTAAAGAACATCGACCCTTTGGAGACGGCTTTAAATCATTTGTAGTTTCCTCTTTTTGTTGCATTACAAGCAAGACGCAATGATATTGTTCTTTTACGGAACGGGCCATATGGGATCACGTAGCTCATACGAGTATACGATCGATTATCGAAAACTATCGAACTGATTTGTTCAGATGAGAGATTTTGGTTAAATATCCCCCAAAATAACGTCTCAGAGTAAGAATTAAGTAGCGGAACTTTTCGAAGGCTTCTAGCGAATAATCTGTTTTGCGTCAAACGCCTACGAACAGATGCAAATATTGATATCGAAAATCACAGATATCGGAAGTCTATATCATATAGGCTGCTCCAATAACATGAGAATAAATACAGCTCTTTTCTTTTAATTCAAAGTGACATACTCTCCTGGTGACAGACAGAGTAACGCTTTACAGCACAATCGAAATAGAAAAATGGAAATGGGGTTATTTCGATAGAACTCACTCTTGGAGATGTGTTTTTTTTTTACTTAACAAGAAAACCCTACGTCAGTAATAAAAATGGAACAAAACTCGCTTCAACAATGCATTGAAATTATTAAAATTCATAAAAAAAATTTCGGCGAAAAATCATCTTAACTGATGGGGCCCATTTCTACCTCGATGGCTATGTCCATAAGCAAACTGTCGCTTCTGAGGCACGGAAAACCCAAGATTTATTGTGGAAAACCCTCTCTATACTCACCGTGTTAGGCTTAGTTTATGAAACGCCAGGCGTACTGGAGCTTACTTTTTCGAAAATGAGGCAACATTTACGGTGAATGGATTTTTATGGCCGGAATCACGGCACGGAATTAATCTCCGCGTTTACTTAAAATAAGAGCTGCTACACAAGAAACGAAACCAACAATCTTTTAAGCGAAAAGTTTCTTTGATTATGAAAATAACACCTCTTATTGGAATATCTTGTAGTATAGAAACATAAAGGTAAATATTATATTACCAAATAGACATTATTTCATTACACAACAGATGGCTTTAGTGATCTGTATCACTTATTACTTGACTAATACAAACATTGTGCGCATATTTTGTTAAAGCAACCTTTTCGACATAAAACAACAATAATTAAGCATCAATTAAAAAGTATTTGTATTTAAGTTGGTTTATTTGTGGTTAACGCCAAACAAACGGATAGGGGTAGAAACGTGAGCCACAGAGTAGGTGGATGCTTGTGACTGTGTAATGATTGGGTTTTGTTATAATAAAAAGTGAGTAACGTAAATACTCGCACTTTCAAAGCTGTATTATGTTGTAACATTTGCTTTATATGAGCAGATTTGCCTATGCGATATTAAGCTATCATTTTCATATGTATATTTGTCCAAAAAAAAAACCCAATGAGAAATTGAGCATCAGAAGCAGATGAAGGAAAACGAGTAAGCTGAGACGTATAGACTTTGCTTGGCGCTAATAAGCAATCTTATTTCGTAAGATTTGGTTCAACAGAAAGTAAATTTTTACGCCACATACGAAGCTACATAAATATATAAAAATAAATATTGACACAGAAAATCATAAACTCTCCAACCAATTTTTCAGATATGAGAATTAATTTTTAATCCTTAAGGCAATCCTCCCCTGCTTTTGGATGAAAAAATCGATTTTTTTTCAAGTAAAAAATGAAAGCCATATATATGTAAAGTATGTGTTTAAAGGGATTTTGCAATACGAAAAATATTTTTCAAATGGCAGCTCTCGAACGCAGCTTCTCGAACGCACCTTTCTCATGCACGCTGTGAACTTTCGAGAAACTTTGAACGCGTTTTTCTCAAAACCATGCTTTCATTCTAACTTCAAGCCTCGAACTTGATCTATTCGTCCGATTTCTTTTATCTAAATACTTTTTTAAAGTATATCGTTTCTTATACGTCTTGAACTTAAGATTCGCATTAATATTTGACTATTTATATTTTTTTTTAAATAATTGAAGTGAAAAAAGTAACAGTAACTTCATAATTGCAATGAACATTATGCAATAAATTTATCGTTAAAATTTTTTCAATTGAGATGCAAGACTTAGAAAATTTCATGGTCTTCAAGTGATGACACCAATTTTTGATTTCAGTCTAACACAAGAGTTTGTAGGCTTGAAGTTGTCGCGCAGAGTTCGATGGAAAGCGCCATTTTGTAGACGGTATTTTGAATTTCGACTATTTTTTTGCGGTTTTAAAATTTCAAATAATAAAGAAATTATAATAAAATAAAAATAATACAAACCGGAAGCTCGTACGCCTTTTCATTCGCTCACAAAAAAAACAAAAATACAAACTTTGCCTGATCTTTGCACAATATCATGGTATTTCATATGGTCATTAGTAATTAATATTATTATTGTTCTCATCAACAAATATTTTCGTTTAGAATTACGTAACTCAGTAATTTTATAATCAAAAATCTGTGTTTCGAATAGAGAGAATACTAGTTTGTTTCTCAACGGCTTAAACATTTGCTTGCAATTTTACAATTTTCAATTATTTTTGTGAAAAGTTCTTTAGTATCTCAATGTAATTCCGAAAAAAAGTCAAAACTTTTGCTCGAAATGCTCGAAAAAAACTCGAATTGCTCAAGCTCGTACTCGTTCGAGTAATGAGTAATGAACGAGAATACGAGCACTCGTTGCTTATAAACTTGAAAAAATTTTCAAAATATTCAAAATGTTCGAACACTATCATAAAGCTCTAGTTTTGAGCTTCTTGTAATAAAAAATTCGATTAGAATCCATAATTTATATCTGTGCTTTCACGATTTGAGTTCGAGTTTATTTTCCATTTTTCCAACTATTATTTGTAAACGTATATGAGAAAGGCTTAAAGAAACTAAGAAACCTTCCATGAACAAATTTTCTACTCAGGACACCTTAATGGCATGATTACAACCATTCAACTACATGTATATGTATACGTGTATGTATGTATGTATGTATGTGTGTGTATTAAAATGAATGCGAGCATTTTTGTATGAATTTCGCCCGCATGTGTTGCAATTTTAATTGCTATAGCAAAACCACGAAAACAAACAACAAACAACAAACAAATGGCTGATGTGAAAAGCAAAAAAATAAATACGCACAAATTTCCAAACAGCGGCGTACAAGAGCAACAAGAGCAGCTGTGCCAGCATATTTGTACAAAGAAATATACATACATACATACACGTATGTATTTACAAGTAGAAATGCTACGCGCAACCTTTTCCTAAGCAACCATTGCTAGAAGAGCCACCAGCATTGGCGCAATCTGCTTGGGGTGTCCTAAAAGTGAAATGAAATACAGTCAGCCTAAATGCAAAATGATGAGGCAGCATGCAAGTGTTAGACAATGTTGCTATCGCATTAGGCCGCCATTTCACCAGCAGCGCAACAGCGTCAAATAAATTCATACACAACAACAAATTCTTTTCTGCTTTAGCTCTGAAAGCAGACAAGCGCTGAGTCGAGTAATATTTAGCACTTGTGTGTATTCTATTCTATATTAAATATTAAATATGATTTTTGTTTGTGTTTTATGAACATGTTTTTGCATATTATATTTTGTTTTTGTTATATGTTTCACATGCACTTACAAATGCCTTTTGAGTTATTGAGTTATAAAAAGTTAACGAATTTAGTTTAGTTGTGTGAGCTCATGTTATAACATAAAAATTACAAAAGAAATTTTCGGAAAGTTTTTAATAGACTAAAAAGAAAGCAACCGATTTGCAAACTTGATCCGAAACAGTTGCGACGTGTCGTGGAGTAAACTCCTCTAAGCAGCGCACGTGTGGCTGGCTCCTTTCAAATTTATGACCATGTGATTTTTTAATAAATAAACTTTGTTGGTGAACAAAAATGAGTGTATTGTAATAATAGTCAGGTAAAGTAATTTTTCAAGAGTATATTGCTGGTTTTATTAATAATTTTGTGCACCACATTGTGACTACTTTGGTGGCTCTGAAGCTTATGGAAATAATTATTTTTTAATTTTATTTAATATTTTTAACTGCACTTTTTATGTCGTTAATTTTTAATTATTTTTTAATTATTTTATTTTATTTTATTTTATTAATAATATACCAAGTACTGTCAGGTGCTTCTCTAAATAGCATCTCCAACAGAGTCCTCTACCTGAGCTTCCATCGGCGAGAGTATTCCTGACCTAACCAGCGTAGCCTTGTAGCCTTTTGAATTGCGGAACTATGTCAATGCCGCTGCATATCTCGTACAACCCATCGTTCCATCTTCTACGGTATTCGTCGTTGACAACAACGCAAAACTTTTCTCTCGAAGACTGCCATCGCCGATTAATCCCATGTTGACATCGTTCATGGTTCTGGGTATGATGAGCGACGTGTGGAATTTGTCTTTGGCTTGTCAAGAGAATACTTTACTTTTCAATTATCAACTCAGTCTAAAGTAGTATCTGTCGACAAGAGTGATTCTGCGTGGGATTTTAAGGCTGACATTGTTGTTGATGTTCATCCAAGATAGACGAAATTACCTCCAACTTCAAAATTGTTACTGTCAAGAGTATCGTGGAAACTGAGTCGCGAATGTGATGACTGTTTGTTTTGATGACAGGAGATATTTCGTGTTGGAGCAAATAATGTAAATATCTGCGGCGTACGCCAGCAGCTACACACTCTTATAGAAGTAACCTGGTTTGGTATCAAATACCAGGAAGAGGTCTTTTCCCATCTTGACGAAGCTTTTGGTGTGGCTTAACTTAAACTAGACAAAGAGTTGGTGTATAACGACCATCCTCACTCGGGTCTTTTCCAAAATTTGTCACATGGCTAGAAAGGATCTTATGTGGAATATAAGGAAGCTTATTCCACGGTAATTAACACAGGCTTTGGGATTCCTAATTTGTGGATTGGGCAGATCTCGATTAGGTTCAAATCGTCGGGCATACTTTCATTCCACCATTTTGCGCAAATAAGCTGATGCATGCACCTTGTCAGCTCTTCACTGTCATATTTAAATAGCTCAGCCGGTAAGCTATCGGCTCCAGCTTTGTCGAACCTCGCCAGAGACGGCTAATGGAATTTCATCATCATCGATTGAGGTTTCGGGTTCGCTTTTTTTGGGTGCTGAATTTTCACTAACATTCAGTAGACTTTTTTTTCGTTCATTACCCTTATCGGCTTCTCAAGCTCTGCCTATTCACGCATCGCGGTTTCTTTCTATTTCTGGTTGCACATGCTTCTAGCTTGCCTCTTCAGCTCTTAGTATCTTTCCTACCCCGTACGTATAGTGGTCGGTAATCCTCATCGTACCACTTGTTCTTTTGACCTTATCGAAACCAGCTGTACGTTCCACATTTTCCTTATACGGAGTTGGTGATTATTGCTCTCAGAGAGCAAATTATTTTCTTTTAATACATCTCGGTCGCAGTCGCATCGCTTATAAGTATAGCATTGCGTACTGCCATTCGGAAAGCTAGGATTCGAGTCCAATTGTTGCTAATTGCGGTCGCCTAACGGTAGAGGAAATTTCAAGCTTTCGTGCGGTTACAAAGCTCTATCAAATTCGTATATATAATTTAATTTAATTTGTTTAATTTATTTGATTTAGAAGGTAATTTTATCTTATATTTTCTCTTTTGTTTATTATTAATTTAATTAAATTCACATCATTTTATTTTATTTTATATACTTTAGTTTATATATTGTGTCATTTAATTTATTTAAATTTTATTTCATATACTCGTATTATGTCACCTTCGATAATGTTTTTAATTTCATTTTCTTTATGTGATTTAATTTAATTTATTTTCTTTTCCATTACTGTATCTTAATTAGATAATTTTATCTGACTTCTTTTAGTTCAATTCAATTTTATTTTAATTTACTTTATTTTATTTTAATTTTTTTAATTTTATCTAATTCTGTTTTATTTCGTTTTCATTTATATTATTTTAGTATAATTGATATTATTTAATTTAAATTAATTGTACTTGGTTATTTATTTTGTTTTCCATTTGATTTAATTTAATTTAATTTAGCTTGTTTTGCAATATTTTTATTTTTTATAATTTCATTTTTTTGTTATTATATATTTATTTTAATTTATTTAATTTAATTTTTTATTTTATTTTGTTTTATTTTATTTTATTTTATTTTATTTTATTTTATTTTATTTTATTTTATTTTATTTAATTTAATTTAATTTTATTTTATTTTAATTTATTTATATTCACTTACATACTTGTTTTTGCGGCTATACTATATTAATTTTTCTTATAAGTATTAGGTAAACCAAAGGCCGGGTCGGTCATTCACTTTATTTTTTTTGTATTCAATATTTTGTTTGGTTTTTCATTTTATCTGATTTTTTAAATTTTTATTATCTGATTAATTATTTAAATTTTGTTTATTTCATTTGATTTTATTTTATTTTTCTTTTTATTTTATTTCATTAAGTTTTTTTTATTTTATTTTATTTTATTTTATTTTACTTCGTTGTATTTCCTTTTAATTTTCTTATTCGATTTTTTCATATTACATTAAATTTATTTTTCCTTTTTTTCTTAAGCACCAATTAACAAAATTAATTTGTTTATTTCCAACGCCTAAATCATTTATCTGTATTAAATACTTTCAAAACAAATTTGGATTCGGTTACCAGCAGCATTTAATCTATCAATCAAAAAATTAAACCTAAAAAATCTTTTATTTCTTTACAGCGCATAATTTTGAAAAGTAAATCCTCTTTCTGTCTGCGACGGATGCTGGAAGTGATGGTTGTGTGTGTTAGTGATGACAGCAACGGTTACGTGATGAAAGCTCACAACGCACAGTGGAATGCTTATTTCAACATTTTTGTTCAAATACAATTTACGTGATGGTTAAGGCATAAATATTAAAAATTTGACTTGAAATATGAAAAAAATGTTTATGAGCCATTGTTATGAATTTCGATAGCACAATAAGAATGTAATTGGTTATTAATATGATTTCAGAAAATAAATGAATAGTCTTCAAAGATACCAATAATGCATTAGTGTCGGGTTTTACGCACAATACTCAGAGAGAAGAGAAGACGATAATGCTAAAATGAGTGCCAAGAAATTTCAAATTTCAAACTTTAAGTTCAATTGAGTTTAAGCAATTACTATTCGATAGCGGTCATTATTATTATTATTTTTTTTTGATAAAAAAAATTGGATATCAATTTATTAAACAAATATGTATATACCAAAGCTGATGAAGGATTTTAAATTTTTTCTCTCACAAATACCACATTTCCAACACACTCATAACATTCCAGTCTTCTTCTTTCGTGTTTGCCTCTGTTATAAAAATTATTCCCAAAATAAATTGACTCTCATAACTGCACCACTGTAATCTCCTGAATCGATGTCTGCAAATGTAACCAAATCAACTCGAGGACATTTGGCCGCATTTTGTAGTGGATTTGCTTATGCCTATTCATGAGGAGAAATACATATGTAAAAATGTCATGTGGCATATTGGATGGCAAATGGCTTTACACGTACGCATCAACAACGAAGGCAGACATGTGTAGGTGTGCATTTTTAAAACAGCAGTTGACGCGATTAATATGAGTGGGGGTGACCTAAATACACCACGGTGGTAGCCCTGTAGAGATTTGGAGAAAATGATGCGTAGTTGAAGTACATATTTTTATTATGACAGGACTGCATAATGTTAGTAATTTATTTTTTTTATTGATTTAAATTTTTTTTCAACATCCATTCAGTAAGTAAAAAATAATTAATTTAAATATATTTTTTATATATACTTGAATCTAATAATCAAAAGTGTATGTAAAATAAATATTTATTCAAGAGAGTTTTATATACATGTACTCGTACATATGTATATGCACTTGAAAATCTCAGCTCTTTCCTATGGGTGCATCTGAAGCGTTTGTGCGTTAACCTAAAAAATGAGATTAAATAACACATGAGAACACAGACTTGTATGCATTTTTTTTTTTGATAAATGCGCAAAAGATTGTTTAATTTTTTCGCATTTGTCAGATTTTTTTTTCATAACGTTTAACATTTCCAACATTTACGTTTGATTATTTTCACATTTTTCATGGCAAATTTCTTACGCTCAACACATATTTATTTACTTGCAAAGGACTGTACATTTATGCGGTCATATATATATGTGTTATGTGTACATATATAAATATGTATATATTTGAGTGCTTTTAAAAATGAAGGTAGCGTAGGTTTATTGGTTTATTTATTCAGATTTTCAATGGCTTGTATTTAATTAAATTCAAAAAACAGCAAATGATTTTTTTAACTCATACAATAAGAACCGGACTTAAATCAGATTTGATGACAGTGACCTCATTGCATTCGATATAGTACGTACATACAATTTGAAAAAAATTTCTTATTTTTTGCGGTATACAACACGCTTGACAAATTTCAATTAAATTTGTTGTTCCATTAAATTGTCAATCGCAAGAAATGGATGAAGGCTGTCACTGTTTTTATTTATTTTTATTATTATTTTCAAAATAAATTTACTTCCGTTCACAAAATGGTGGAAGTTGTGGTAAACAGTTTGAGACAACCTTTATTTATATTCAAAAAAAATACTAGCGATGCGATTTTCATATGAATAACCAGGCTCAGATCTGAGGGCTCAAACCATACTAAATGCCGACGTCAAAGTCACGAATCTAACGATATATGTACATACATATATTAGATTATCAAAATGGCTGCATAGTAAAGTTCGTTTTTGTGGCAATGGATCTTAGTCAGGCCTAAGTGAATCAGGGTCTTCACACTCATTACAGGTAAGCTGTCTTCCACGCCTATGAAAGCGTTTCAGATTGTGTTTAATCTTCTCCTGGCAGACCAATACAGAAAACTTCATTTGAGCTGCAACGCCATATGACTAAATGCAGCTTGGAGTAACCGCAATACTAAACTCTACATCTCTGGATCATAAAGCCATAGTCATCTTCCTCGGCGGCTCTTGACTAGATGGAAAAGTAGGTTGTGAAGTTTACTCTGAACCTTTAGCTATGGAATTAAGTGAAAGTTTTCTCGGCCACTGTAGCGTCTTCCAAGTGGAACTAGCCGCGTTGTCATTGTTGTTCGTTTTTAATACGATAATCCAACCCATTCTGACAGCTAGTCTGTGATTAAGTCTTACGAAGGCCCGCTTTCGCGTTCAATAAGTGCGATTGAATTACGCTAGATGGGATTAGAAAGATTGTATCTTGCTTGCGTTCTTGTCAAAGATAGACACCAGGAATTTGAAAATATTCACAATTCTACAATTATTCTTCAATAATGCTCCTCGATGTGGAAAGCGAATCGTCGAAAATGACGATAAAAAATGGAAGTCGTCCAGTTTTATATTTATCAAAGCACTATCTCGACTACCCAGGAGCTAAGTATTGCCCAAAGCACAGCTTGGAACTACTTGTAAAATCTTGGGCCCCAAAAGAAGGATGAGTGCCTCATGAGTTAACGAGAAAAAGCCTCATAGATCGAATTTCCATCTGGAAACTGTTGCCGAAAAGTAACGAAATTTACTCATTGCCGAAGCAGGTGCTGACTGGTGATCAAAATTGCATCACCTGCAGCAACGTCCGACGAAAACAGTCGTATTCGAAATACCTTGTTCTGGCACAAAAAGTATCCAACCCAGAAATGACAGCCTTGAAGGTCTTTTGGGTGTTTGGTGTGACTGGCGAGGAATCATCTACCACAAGCTGCTCACCTGTGGCCATATTCATCATTCGATGCTGTAATATCAAAGATTGGATCGTCTGAATGAAGCAATCGCCCAGAAGCACACAGTTTTGGTCAAAAGGGGGCACCATACAGAACGCTTTGATTCGTTTTTGAACTGGTGGAATAATCAGTATCTACTTCTATCGAAATAAAGCTGGTAGCACCGTTACTGTCAATGGAAAGCAGTATAGATCGATGACAACCAACTTTTTGTGACCACAATTGGAAGAAGTTGATCTTAACAACAGCTGGTTCCAAAAAGACGGGGCTACGTGTCAGACATCATGTGCAACAACCGAATTAGTGACATTGAATGACCACCAAGAAGTTGTGATTTAACATCATTAGACTACGTCTAGTGGGGTTATTTGAAATTATTTGTCTTTAGTAAAGAAACAAGGGAACCTTGTTTAAAAGTCAATATTGCACGTGCTATTAATGACATACGACTTGATTTAGTGAAAAAAGTGCTCACAAATTGGGTTCATCGAAAGAAAAAGAAGTCGTGGCGATTATTTGAATGATGTTATGTTCAGAATTTAATTCTATCGATTACTTACTTTACTGGCGTAGACACCGCTTGCGCGATTATAGCCGCTTTACAACAATGCGCCCTTCGTTTCTGCTTTTTGCTGTGTGGCGCCAATTGAAAATACCAAGTACAGCCAGGTCCTTCTCTACCTGGTCTTTCCAACGGAGTGGGGGTCTTCCCCCTCCCTTTGCTTCCACCGGCGGGTGCTGCATCGACAACTTTCACAGCTGGAGTATTCGCATCCATATGGATCATATGACCTCGCCAGCGTAGCCGCTGCTTCTTGATTCGCTGAACTATATCAATGTCGTCGTATAACTCGTACAGATCATCCTTCCATCGTCTGCGGTATTCGCCGTTGCCAACGCGCAAAGGACCATAAATCTTACGCAAAACTGCAAAACTTTTCTATCGAAAACTCCTAACGCCGTCTCATTAGATGCTGTCATCGTCCATGCCTCAGCACCATATAACAGGACGGGAACGATGAGGGACTTGATAATTTTGTTAATGCTGGATAGACGAAATTATTTATGACTTCAAAGTTATGACTGCCAACAGTGACGTGGGAGCCAAGTCGCGAATGCGATTACGGTTTGTTTGATGGCAGGAGATATTTCGTCTTGTCCTCGTTCATTACCAGACCCATTCGCTTCGCTTCCTTATTCAGTCTGGGGAAAGCAGAAGTAACGGCGCGGTTGTTGAGGTCGATAATGTCAATATCATCGGCGCACGCCAGTAGTTGTACTCTTATAGAAGATTCAGCTCTGTAGCTTTTATTATTCTCTCCAGTATCAAATTGAAGAAATCACACTACAAAGAGTCACCCTGTCTGAAACCTCTATCGATTGCACTTCACATTAAATAAAAAACATTTGGATTTCCTTAACAATTAGTGTGTTTGTGAGTGTTTTTTTTAAGAAATCAGATCACTCGTATTGGGAAACCCTGTATAAACACAATTATTAATTGCTGCCTGTTGATCTCATTTAATTAACATTTTTGGTCACAATTTGTGATTTTTTTCTCAATTTTTTGTTGTTGTTTAATCATTTTTTTTCTCCTTTGAACTAAGCACATACATGCACGAGCATATAACACACATATATACATATGTAAAATATGTATGTAAGTACATCTTCATTTCAAAGTGTTTTTTTTTTAAAGAAATTTTTTCAATAAACTCAACTAAGTATACAAGTGCGGGGGCTTAGTACATATCATATGTACATACATATGTACTTATGTAATCATATATTTTTTTTTGCTCAAGTATGCCGTTTATAACTTTTTGTCTCTTCATACATACTTCGCGCATATGTATGTGGGTGTTATATATGTACATACATAAATACATACTTGCATGCGCAATAATATTTGAGTGAACAACACATTTAAGACATGTCTGAAGACTGCTTTTATCCTTTTGAACAATTCACTTTGATAATGAGAATTTAAGTGAATGCACGCGTCGTTTATACTCTTCTTTTATGGTTTTATTTGTGTCATCTTTTTTTAATCCCATCCCGGAAGCAGTGCCAATGAACTTCGC